CTGTAAGTAACTAAAATAGCCTGATTTGTAAAGCTTACGATGTAATGAATTATGGAAAATGACTTGTATATCGCATATAATTAATAGTTGTCTTCATTGTGAATGAATGGGCTCAATGCAATGAGCTCAATCACACTTGGGATGATGATGAATTAGGAAATAACGGATAACATACTGCAATATTCCTTCAGGAATGCTACTCATGTTCAAAGAGAAAAAAATGCAACACAAAGAGTCCTTATAATCTCAGTTTATATGGCTAATAGCTCCTGGACATGGATCAGCCACTCAGTGTTTTTGGTATCCCCGCCAGCCCCATGAAAGTATATTCCTGCTGCTGGTGTTATTATCAGTAACAGCAGTGGGGATGTGTAGATGTGTTGTTTGTCCTTGACCAGCACCCAGCATGCAGATTTCCTGCTGCTTATTTTTCTTCTTCACTTACCCACTCTCAGCTCACCGCCAGCAATCACAATACAGGCTGCGCTAAGTGCATTGCTGGAATTTGATGGGAATTCCAGTGTGCCCTGGATATAGAGGCCTCGACACGAGGAAGGGTTGTATCCACAAAGATGCTTCGGCCTGAGAAAGAGGAGGAAAGGGAGAGAGAAGTCTGTAATGCCTGTGGTTTCAATCCAATATAAACACTTAAGGCAGTGTTTCCCAACCTTTTTTGGGCAAAGGCACACTTGTTTCATGAAAAAATCTCGAGGCACACCACCATTACAGCCCTGTGACGTCAGCGCGCAGCGTCACGCCGGGAGGGACGCACGAAAGTGTAAGATTCAATTTTTTTCCCCTCCCCTTGCCTTCCTTCTGTGCCAACCGCCAAAAAGCCAAGAATCGCGGGACCGCTGGCGGAGGGAGGGAGGGCGAGCGGAGGCAGCGGCGAGCCCCGTTCCTCCCCATCCGCCCCATTCCGTGCAAGGAGCGCGAACAGGTGTGAGAAGGGGGTCAAACCTGCGGGTCGGCGCCGGGGAACCTCCAAGCTTTGGGGGTGGGGGGGAGGAGGCAGCAAAGCGAGGCAGGAAGGAGAGCGCGGCTTGGCGAAGTACTCGGCGGCGAAGGCCAGCAGGTCCGGCGGACGGTGCCGCAGCACCTCCACCGTGTAGCCCTGCAGCAGCTCAGTCAGACCCGGCGGGATCTCGATGCTCATCTTGTAGCCGAGGCGCGCGGGAGACTCAACGGACGGGCCCGGGGAGAGAGAGAGAGAGAGAGACACGACGGAGAGAGAGCGGGAGTCCCTGCTCGCCGTCGCCACTGCTACAACTACTGTGGCGGTTGGTCGTGGTCGCCGCCGCCGCCGCCGCCCACCTCTATCTATCTCTCCCCCTCAGGGGCCTCGAGCCGGAGGTGGGGGGTGGCCGCCGCCGGCTTTCTCCGCCTCCACGTCCTGCCTCCTCCTCCTCGAGCCCTCCGTCAGCCCTGAGGGAACCGCCGCGCTCGTGCCGCCGCTCTCTGACACGCGAGAAAGAGAAAGGAACGGAGCGGCGGGGTAGTCGGGGGAAGGAGGGGCCGGAATGGGAAGCGCGAGGCGAGCTGCGCATGCCCAGCAGGAAGCGGCGGAGAACGCCACAGAGAGAGAGAAAGAGAAGCAAGGGAGGGCGGGGAGTGGGCGGGAACACGCTTCATGCGTCACAATAACGGACAAGAGGCGCTCGAGGGATAGATTAGGACCTAATTTGACTTTTACAAAAAAAAAAAAATCTTTCGAATTTTCCCCACGGCACACCAGGCAACATCTCGCGGCACACTAGTGTGCCGCGGAACAGTGGTTGGGAAACACTGACTTAAGGAAGCACTCTGCCTCCAACAGTCTTCAAATTTGAAATGAAAGGACGTATAACACGACACCAAGAAAAGAGAGAAGATCTTCACGGTCTGATATGAGGTGCTTTCTGGAGCAGCCACTAATACTGTTCAAATAATGACCTACCTTCCATGAGAATGCGGAAGAGTAATGGGGGGATGGCATACATTTTAATGGAACGCTGACCCAAAGAGGAACAAAAATGCCCCTTGCTGTTGCTCTGTGACTTTAAAAGGGAAGTGGGCAGGTTCTGGCTTTTCCTTCTCACTCTGTGCATAGGATACCACGGTGTATCTGTGATGGCTACCCCTCTCACCAACACGCTCACTTCCTTCCTCAAATCACACACAACAGCCTCTTCATTGTTCTCAGGCTCATGGCAAGTGATTGTCTGTAATTTCAATCCAGACTTCATGCACACTTTAATCTCTCCTAGCAAAACTAATTGGTTTAACAGTACTTCAGTGTGCTGGCATTGCAGTAGGTTGGTGTTAAGTTGCTAGAGAAAAGCAGCAAACATTTACACACACACACAATACAAAGATACCTGGACCATGATTAAGAGGCTTTCAAAAAATGCATACTGCATTCAGAATCTCAACATACTACTGTATCATTAGCTCCTGCTGCTACTAAAATAACAGGCCTAATTTAATTAGTCTGTAAATAAACACATGAAAATTCTCCCTTGATCTCTTTCTCCCAGTCAGCAAAGAAATTCAGTGAAACACTTGCTTGTGAATGCAGCTTAAGGGAATCAACTTATTTTTTTAAGAGACACAAAGCAAAAGGATTGGTCTTCATGCTTCGGATGGGCTGCCTGTGCTTCTTCCACATTGCCTGCCACTGAGCTCCGAAGGATGAAAAAGTTACACAACAAATCAATCTGTTTTGTCATTCAGACACCACATTATCATCAGGTCAAGTTACTAGTCAAACAAACAGTGGAAAACAGATGGCTCCAAAGTGAATAGAAGGCCTCTTTTCTCTCCTTGTGCTATAAATAAACAAAAGAAGCAGAGGTCAAGTAGATTATGAATGGAGGCAGAATGGCCAAGTACCCATAGCTGCAGTTTGAATGACAGAAAGGTCATTTGGGTGAACTCTATCTATGTCATCTACTGTTACTTTATTAACAAATAATTCAAACTTCCTTTTTTTAAAGCAAGATTTTTCTATGTTGCACTCAGAAAAACAACATCAAAATTGTTTTTTGCTTTAAAAGGAGACCATTTCTAACCTCGGGGCATAATTTCAAATATTCAAATACATTTAACCCTTCATTCTAAAGACACAGATCAGTGATTTTCAGACTATTGACAGGGAAACTATTGGGGAAGTTTATCCAAGACTCCTCAATGAGAAGACTGACAATTGCAGATGTTTCTCTGAGAAATAGCTATTTCCCCAGGATGTGCAACCACAGCAGCATGTTGCTGTTATCTGGAGCACCCTCTCCGTTCGCGTGGGACAATAAAGTGAGACCCAAACTGGTCTTTAAGAAAAGTTCCACACCAACTCATTGTGTGCGTCCTAGAACGCGCTCCCTAATCTCAGCAGCGCAAGCGGGTTTATCGGTAGACAAGTTAGTGCTGAAAGATTTCCCTGAAGGAAGAAAATGTGAGAACAACTGATCTAGGTGACCACAAAACTATGGGGTTGGTGTAGTACATTGGAATGGGGAAACACTTCCAGGGCATCCTCAGACGCCTTCAGTATTAGAACCTATACCTCAGAAGTACAGCAACTCCCTAGGAGGGGGTTACTGCTCTTCCCACCTCAAATAACTCCCACTAGACCGTTACAATGGCAATTGCCAGACCACATTCATGCCGACACCTCATTAAAAGAGTGAAGCATAGCAACATTGATCATTCTTTCTTTACTGTTGATTTGCATAGGTTCTTACCAAATGCACTAACAGAAAGCACTCCTGCTTATGCAAGGCAAGATACCAGATTTCCATGGGTCCCCTCCTACCCTCCCTCAAGCTGCTCTTGAGATTTGAAGAGCCCCCAGGAACTCTGCAGGAGCTGGCACAAAGAGCTGCAGTCCTGGTGGAAAGCAAATGCCACAAGCAGAATAATTTCATGCTAGCACAAACCAACCACTGGATAAAATTCAGTAAGTTGACATAATACAGAAGATACCTTGCACAAATTGACTTGGAAATCAGAAAATAATACAGTGTCACAATAGTACACAGAAGCATAGGAAGGAAAGCCATTGCAGCTAAATTAATTTGGGGGAACTAGCCTAGGACAAGCATTTTATAAGACATTAGCTTAAATCCCTTTTTCCCCCTCACTGAACAGAAGGAGCTTGCATTTACAGAATAAAAACTTAAGATCCAAGTCAGTAAGTGCATGCAATAACATAGTCCGTGGTCATCCCTAGAGTGTATACTTCATCTAGTTCTCTGTTACTTATTTGCTAAGCCACACATCCTTAGAAATAACTGAGCCTTTTTTTAAAAAAAAAGTATTAACTTCCTATATAATCATTGCTGTTTGAATGTGACCTTACATCAGCAACACAGATTTGTTTATTGTTAACTCGTCATGCACAAAAATAGTTCTGCTGGTGAATGAATGAATCTGATCATCATCATCAACAACAACTAAGGGACATAACCAGAATGGTGAAACCACAACCACTCTATTTTATGTGGTGTTGGAGTGATGCAGAAATATATTCAACAGAACAGCAGAGGGCTCTGTTGTAGAGCTAAGCTCTTTCCACACTCCTTTAGGAAATGAAAAAAAACTGAAGCGTCTTATTCACATCTTGCAACATACATCTATTTGTAGTTTTAAATAACTTGGGGCCAAATATTGCATACTTTAGGTCCTATAAACCTTGGGGGGAAAGGTCACGTGTGACTCATCTCTTTTCTCTCCATCCACTCTACACCACTTAATCAGCAAATGCTAATACATAACGAAGAAGGATACCACTCTAATATCTAAATTGATACACCATTCATGCATGCATGTTTTTTGTCTGGAGAAAAGTTCAGTAATGACACAGCTCTGGCATAAACAAAACTTGCTAATGATTCAAGTAATGACACAAAATCCCTTTGATCGAGACTCTTGCACTAGAAAATGCCATAAATATACCACCAAGTGGAAATCAGGAACAACGGAAGCATTATTACATGAGATACAGGGCTCCAGCATTCATCTCTTCAAACAGAAAAACTTCAAAGCAAATCAGAATCAGAAAGAATAAAAAAAAAAGCCCACTAACAACAGAGCAGATTCCACCACTAAAAAACAAAACTGCCAGAGGCTACATGATATCATATCTATACAACATGCCATTGCTAGAAATTATAACATGCTTTTCTCTCGCACACAGTATTAGGGGTGCATTTCATTTGAACTTTGCATACAAATGTGAAAGCAGAAAGGAGAGCTACTGCATTTTGTCCAGAGCGAAGCCTGTGTTCATGAATGGCCCAAATTAACGCATCCCTAATTTCTGCACCTCACATAAGAAGCACTCTGGCACATGTTAGGCTTGTCTATGGCTATTGTTTTGACTCCTGGTGTGGAAAACAGAATTTTTTACGCAAGCCCACAGTCAAGAAAAGGAAAAGTGAGGAATTCTTAAGAAAAGAGTAATTTAAGAGAGAGAGATCAGCTACAAAGAAAATTAAAGGAGTCAGGCAACACACATCCAAAAAGAAGATTAGAATGTGGCTTGAAAGAACTGCAGAGTATAAAATGAAGATTTTAATATCTGATATCTTACCATGATCTTAGATATTAAAATCTTCATTTTATGCTCATGGTATGAGGAAAGGGTTACAAATATTTTTACCAGAGGGCTACAGAATGAAAAAAAAATGCATGTTCTAAAGCATGAATGACTTAACTTTTAAGCAGTACACTTGTCTTGTTTCTATTTGCCAATTATGTATTTTGCTTTGGTTTCACTATTCAATCCATGGTAGTGTTGCTTCTTTAAGCCTTTTAAAATTAGGTTTATTCAGAAGAGCTCAGGACTAAACTTCCAAAAGGAAGATCCTCCAGGTGTGATTCTGAGGTCTGGGAATAATTTTTTTGGAGACTTTGACTAAAGCAAGGAAGTCAGTGACCCTCTTTCTAGTGACTGTTCTGAAAGGATGAGGTTTCATCCATATTAACCTCTTTAGAGGGCACCCACAGAGTGTTTCCATTTTTGCATTCTTAGATCAGAGGTGGAAGTGAGGAAATTTATAGTCCTCCCAATATTGTTGGACTGCAACTCCCATCATTCCCCATCACTGTTCATGCTGGCTGGAACTAATGAATGTTGGGGCCTGACATGTGGAAAGCCACAATTGTTAAGAATGGTAGTTTAATTCATTGAAATTCTAAATGCTTGTATGCATTACTATGTGTTTAAATTTGATTGGTTGGTAACTGAATTCTAGCAAGTTCTCTAGTAGTTCTCATGTGATTGGATAACGTTGGTCACATGGGAGGTATGGCTGTGTTTTAGAATCCACTGTGAACACTGCTAAGTTGAATAGAGTGTTGGAGTGCTTCTTCTCTGCCCTGAAAGAAAGAAAGCAAAGTTGAAGGATGGGAAAAAGTGGAAATATCTCATAGGAGCTTTAAGGGCATGGCTTAACAGAGATAGAGAAGGGCTGAGTGCTGAGCTCTGCAAAGAGAGGAAAATACAGTTGTTTGGAAGTTAGAAGAAGAGACTGTAGGCCCATGCTTGGAGAAGCATGTGCCTGCAAAATATTATGTTTTAATTTATCTATAACTATAATTTCTGCAAGTAAAGTTTTTGAATGTTAATTCTGGGTATTTGTTTAGTTCCTCAAAGAAGGGTGTCACTCATATATATGATTTGAGCTTCTAGCTGCGATTTCGCTACTCTTACTTCAACACACAAGTTCCTCCACCCTATCTTAGATGAACCAAAGCCCTATTCCCTTTTGGAATATGAAAAAGGAGAAATTGTGGATTCATTTATCAGCATAACCAGTAGGAGGTTGTTAGCAATAGCTGTGGCATAATTTTGCTTACCTATTAGGGCTGTAACAAAAATGCCAGTGATTAAATTGCAGGCATTATGTCCTGAGAAAACATGTATATATGTATTTATGTATGTAGAGAGAGGGCTATATTTGTCATGGGAGGCAAGAAAACATGACAAAGTATGTGGAGATGACAAATAAACAGTTAAATTTAAGGGTCACAGAATCACAGAGTTGGAAGGGCTCCTGAGGGGGCTGTAGGGGTCATATAGACAAGCCCTTGCAATGCAGAAATCTCAACTAAAGCATCCATGACAGATGGCCAGGCAACCTTTGCTTTAAAAATCTCCAAGGAAGAAGAGTCCACCACTTTCCGAGGGAGTCGGTTCCACTGTCAAAGGGTTCTTACCATCAGAAAGGTTTTCCTAATGTTGAATCAGAATCTCATTTCTCATAACTTGAATCCATTGTTCCATCTTCCATGTGAGAGCCCTTTAGCAATTCAAAGGTGTCTATCATGTCTCCTCTCAAATTCTTATTGATAGTGGTACCCACCTTGTGGAATGCCCTCCCATCAGATGTCAAGGAGATAAATAACTATACAGCTTTAAGAAAACATCTGAAGGCAGCCCTGTATAAAGGTAAAGGGACCCCTGACCATTAGGTCCAGTCGTGACCGACTCTGGGGTTGCGGCGCTCATCTCACTTTATTGGCCGAGGGAGCGGGCGTACAGCTTCCTGGTCATGTGGCCAGCATGACTAAGCCGCTTCTGGCGAACCAGAGCAGCGCATGGAAACACCGTTTACCTTCCCGCCGGAGCGGTACCTATTTATCTACTTGCAGTTTGACGTGCTTTCGAACTGCTAGGTTGGCAGGAGCAGGGACTGAGCAACGGTAGCTCACGCCATCGCGGGGATTCGAACCGCCAACCTTCTGATCGGCAAGCCCTAGGCACTGTGGATTAACCCACAGCGTCACTCACGTCTTGTATAGGGAAGCATTTAATGTTTGATGTTTTATTATATTATATTTTTTGGAAGCCACCTAGAGAGCCTGGGGCAAGCCAGTCAGATGGGCAGGGTACAAATAATAAATTAATGGTGATTATTTTTTATCATTATCCAGACTAAACATACCCAGCTCCTTCAAGCACTCCTCATAAGGCTTGGTTTCCAGACCCTTGATCATCCTAGCTGCCCTCCTGCACACATTCCAGCTTGTCAATATCCTTCTTAAATTGTGGCACCCAGAACTGGACACAGCACTCCAAGTGTGGTCTGATCAAGGCAGAATAGAGTAGGACTATTACCTCCCTTGATCAGGACACTGTATCTCTGTTGATGTAGCCTAGAATAGCATTAGCCTTTTTTGCTGCTGCATCACACTGTTAAGCTTATGGTCCACTAAGACCCTCTAAAGCGTTTTTTACATGTACTACCGGCAAACCAGGATAAAATCAAGCAGGCTTCAGAATGCCTCTGGGCAACCTGACCCAGCTTTTCTGTGTATTTATTTATTTCTCCCATGCTTCTATGATTTTTCTCCTTATGCAAGACTAACTTTCACATCAGACCTTTTCTACTTACCAGGCAAAATGATGACGTCTTGACCAGTTGATGGTATGCTCTTATTGTAGCCACCCCAGCCCTTTGTCACACCATCCCAAGACTCAGAAAGTGACCATCTCAGAAGAGGTGGTGGAGGAGGAGGAGGAATTGGATCTAGAAGCAAGGCAAATTACTATAAACAGTGTCTCTTTAGTACCTTATAAGCATAGCCAAGGTGTGTGAATAAAGATACTTATTCCTATCAAAACTTATCACTGACAGTATTCAATTCCATTACCAAGCTTAGATATTGGTTTCAACTATCCAAGCATTTAATACATACCATTCATAACAGCACAAAAAGAGTTAATCACAGATTTATGTTTCTCATGGACACATATTCACAACCAAAACAGATACTTCCCACCAACCAACAAAATCACAGAATTCGAAGAAGAAAAATAACACACCCACATGCACGCATGACTACTTTCCCAATCACTCCATCTTAACAGCAAGGAAAATACTTCAAATTTCCAATGTGGTCTTAAAGATCAGAAGATCTTTAACTAAGTGAAAATTGAAAACAAATTAAGAGAGATTTTCATTTTGTTAAAAAATACAAATATACTGATTATTTTTAGTTAATTTTTTTTCAAAATGCAATGATTTTTACTAATTTGTCATTTCATCAAAAACGTAGCACAACACAATGTTGCTTTTTCCTCTTTTTCGCCAGTCTGGCCCCAACCCTATAAGGTGGGATAGCTCAGTTTGGAGGATGAAACTTAGGACTCAGCCACACTGGACTAATTAAAATGTTATCTATGTGTTATAAACATGTGATACCAGATAGCGCTGTAGAACTGTGATCTGTCCCAATGAGAAATTGCATTGAGAGCTTTTTTTATATAGCATTTTTAAAAATAGAGTTTTCCAAATCAGTATAGATCCAGCCTCAATCTAAGGCTTGTTGGGCAAAAGATTCCTGCATTGCAGGGGGTTGGACTACTGTAGATTATTCTTGTGGTCCCTTCCAATTCTACAATTCTATGATTTGCCTTCCTAAACAGCTCTGATTTCACTGAGTGCCTGTTAGAGGAGGGCAGGAGTAGTGTTGGGGTGTCAGAGATGTCAACCTAAAAAAGCATTCTTACTTCAATCTTCAGCCAAGAGCAGCTTACATTTTAAATATCCTGGGTGGTGGAAAGTAGACTTTTCTCCTTTCGAAATTACTCTGTACAGAAAGACTCATGTGCACAAAAATGTGTTTCCGTGTGCACTTGAAGCCTAATGCACTGGAATAATTATCTTTAAAATAGTCTGAAGTTAAAGAAGGCACCATTATTCTTTTTTTAAAAAAAAATTACCCAAGTACAGACATTAGCCCACAGAAGCATTGCAGATAAACATTTTTAGTGGTCTTAATAATCCCACACCTTCAACACATACCGGGCACTGGTAAAGGGAGTGTGACTTCTGCTTGGAATGCCACTTGGACTGCGCCTTGACCTGTAACTAAATTTCAGAAGCCAACAGTTTACAGATAAAACTGACAAACAAATTAAAGTAGGCTAAAATATTATTCTACGATAATTTCCAGTTGTAAACTTTGCTAAGCTTCTCAGTTACTGAAGGCATTTCAAAACCAATTAAAATAATCCATGGATTCCTCACCTCTGATTTTTTTGTTCAACCGTAGACATATGCATTAAATAAACAATTAAATTCAAGTACAAACAACCAAAAGGAAAGAGAAAATTTCACCCTCTGGTCCCTGTTGCTCCAAGGTAACTCTATTAGCCCTCCATTTGCAGTAAAAATTTAGCGGGAAATGTTCAACTTTTTTGTTCAACTACATTCCAGACTATTTAATCAATACATTTTTAGATTTCAGTGGCCAATTCTGTCCTCTGAGAAACTGTATTTACCAGAGACAGACAGTGAAAAGCACATAATTTATCTTATTTATTAAAATATAAAGGTATCTCCAGCTGAAGGCTCTTGGAAGATAAAATGAAATCATTACTGAATAATTACAGAATTATACAGTTGTATCAGGGACGCGGGTGATGCTGTGGGTAAAACCTCAGCGCCTAGGACTTGCCGATTGTCAGGTCAGCGGTTCGAATCCCCGCGGCGGGGTGCACTCCCATTGCTCGGTCCCAGTGCCTGCCAACCTAGCAGTTCGAAAGCACCCCCGGGTGCAAGTAGATAAATAGGGACCGCTTACTAGCGGGAAGGTAAACGGCGTTTCCGTGTGCTGCGCTGGCTCGCCAGATGCAGCTTGTCACGCTGGCCACATGACCCGGAAGTGTCTCCGGACAGCGCTGGCCCCCGGCCTCTTAAGCGAGATGGGCGCGCAACCCCAGAGTCGGACACGACTGGCCCGTACGGGCAGGGGTACCTTTACCTTTACCTTTTTATCAGGGACATGGGTGGTGCTGTGGGTTAAACCACAGAGCCTAGGACTTTCCAATCAGAAGATCGGCAGTTTGAATCCCCGCGACGGGCTGAGCTCCTGTTGCTCGGTCCCTGCTCCTGCCAACCTAGCAGTTTGAAAGCACGTCAAAGTGCAAGTAGATAAATAGGTACTACTCCGGCGGGAAGGTAAACGGCGTCGCTCTGGTTCGCCAGAAGCAGTTTAGTCATGCTGGCCACATGACCCGGAAGCTGTACGCCGGCTCCCTTGGCCAGTAAAGCGAGATGAGCACCGCAACCCCAGAGTCGGCCACGACTGGACCTAATGGTCAGGGGTCCCTTTACCTTTACCTAAGGACATATCACTAGGCAGACCTCCATTTTAAGATACACTCAAGGCACCATACAGCAATTATCTGATGCACCAGATATTTATTGGAAACCTCAGTTTTAGCCTGTTCCATTGTCTCCCTATGGATCTTCCTCCATTGCTAAACTGCTGGTGTGCAACCATGTTCCAAATCCATCTCTCTGTAGCCAAATATATTGCAATAAAAACCAAACTAAAAACAATCAACACTGTGGGATCAACTTCTTTTATTTACTACATTTCCCCCTGCCCCATGTTTCCTCCCATGTGTGATTTAACTCTCATTTTTATCCTCACAATAGCCTGAAGCAGGTTAGCCCGAGGGACAGCCAGCAGGTTTAAGGTCATCCAGTCAACTTTGCTGCTAAGGGAGGATTTGAACCCTAGTCTTAGCGTCTAGACACTACGCTATACTGGCTGTGCAACATCATAAGGGCCTCAGGCAATGGAAGTTCATAGAACAGTTGTATATACTCCACACTGTCATCTAGGCAAATAAACAAAGGATCCCAATGCAAAATTCGAGTGCCTCTTCACAAAATACAACCCTAGGGCCCAGATGTAAAAACCAAATAAAGGAGTGTGTAACAAGTACCATCAGTTTCCTCTCTGATTTTGGGCTTTGTTGGACACCTGGCTGATGTATTATTATTATTATTATTATTATTATTATTATTATTAAAAAGTCTTCCTTTAATTCAGCTTTCCCAACCATTTCCCCCTCTTCTAGCTAGGAGTTGATGCATAGGTGGAGCAATATGTTCATCAACTATGTGGTGACAGAAAACTTTGCCTGTGGTTATTAGAAAAAGCTAAAACTTGGATAAATGACCACAACAGACACACATAAACAGCAAGCCAGAGTATTCTATTCAACATTAAGTGGTTCAACATATATCACATGAAAAACTAACATTGAAAGCTTTTAGAAATCATTGCCAAATCCAAGAAACTGTCAATGGTTTATGTAGCGTTTCATGTTCAGGTAATCTATAACAAGCTTATTGAGAGAATGCAACCAGGATACCACACACTAAGACTTCAAAGAAACAAAATGAGTTTCGACCAAATCTAACCAAGTAAACCATTAATAGGTTAATTTTAGCTCAACAAAATAGATGGGATGGAAAGTCTCTACTGTTCTCCAATAGGGTGCATTACAGGATCCACAACACAATGACTATTTAGTCAAAGGGTGGCTTTTCAGCAGGCACCTAGATGGAAAAGTCATGTTAGGTACTGCAGGTTTTTAGGAGGATGTTAGATCAAAGGGTCATTGCATGAGTCTATTAATTGAATAGAAGATGCAAATATACCAATTCACATCCAGCACCTCAGAGTTTTTGCTACCTGGGTTCACCATTTCCACTGTAATTATAGCATATAGTGATACATGAAATCCATCTTCATGGGCAGTTCTTTTCCACTGGGTATTCCACCAAGAGCCAGCATGGTGTGGTGGTTACGTGCGGTGGACTTGAAATCTGGAGAACCGGGTTTGCTTCCCTGCTCCTCCACATGCAGCTGCTGGATGACCTTGGGCTAGTCACACTTCTCTGAAGTCTTTCAGCCCCACTCACCTCACAGAGTGTTTTTTTGTGGGGAGGAAGGGAAAGGAGATTGGTAGCCGCTTTGAGACTCCTTAAGGGGAGTGAAAGGCAGGATATCTTCATCATCATCTCACACCCAAACTACAGAAGATAACAACAGTTTCATGTCTGTGTAGATGCAGGACTGATCTAGTCATGTTTAAGGCAGGGGTGAGCTGCAATTATTTTATTTTGTTTTATTTTGTTTTGGTATTGCTTTTATGGTGTTTCCTGTTTTATTGTATATATATTACACACTACCTTGATATTTTACATGAGTTGGCAGCATAGAGATTCTTCTACAAATAAACAAATCATGTTAAAGCCCCCAAAGGGGATGTGAGATATGGACTCTACCCCTCTTGCTGCTCTGCCTGTTGAACTGCTGGTCCCTCTACTGGGCTCTAAGGGAAAAGCAAATTTGTGGGGCTGCCTTCCTGCTCAGTGTGCACTTTAAATCATGCATCCCCATCCCACTTTACATGTTTGTGAAAAGGCACCTTGAAAGACATGTCCTGTTGCCCCTGCAATTTATAAAGTAGGCTAATACACAAGTTCACAAGAATGCCTTGACAACATTCCTTTACAACATATACGTAAAATAGCTTTAATATCTGACATTACAACTATAAAAGTGAGAACATTCAGACTCCAACACTGAAGCTTCCATCCCAGTGCCGTCCCACAGACCGGGGGGGGGGGGGAGGACCAGACTCAGCTGCTAACGAACACTTTCTTAATTGAGAGCTTTGAAGAATGTTCTCTGAAAACTCTGCATGTCAGGAAACTCTTTTTGTGGTTTATTCATAACTGTGCAATGTTTTTTGTTTAGTGTGGGTTGGTTAAGGCGGACTTACACAACAACAGATCAGTGCACAATGAGTGAAGTTAGTCAGCTTGCTTCTGATATCAATTTGGGTTTTGTTTCCACTTTGTCCTGACATGTCAAACTTGAGAAGGTGCACTGTCCTTCCCAGAGCACATCAGGGTGGGATAATATAGAGTATAAGCAGCCCCTGCTGCACTCCAGGATGGCTTCCTTCAGATGTTCAGCTTTCTGAATCACAATGTATTTTCTTTCAACTGTGTCATTCAGACTGAAGCAAGAAAAAGAGTGTGTGAATTTAGGAGCACGCCAGTGAATGAGCTGGCATCTGATATGTATTTATTGACATTAAATTTTGGGTTTAATGCACTCCTGCCACTCTCCAACAATTCACTCTAAAAGGCTTTTAACTGGCACAAAAGGAGAGGGTCAAAAGTAAGTTGACCCCTAACAGAATGTACAATTATTAGAGAAGGCCAGGACAAGAGCAGCTGCTGGAACCCCACTGACATCGGAAAGTACTTCCAAAAGTCTGGTTATTAATAATACACCCAGGTTCCCCACCACCACCACCTCTACAAGGTCCCTTTCGCTTCTCTGAGAAGAATTATAGCCCTCCCTAGCAGCTGCAATAATTGTGTTCCCATTGTTGCACAGACCTCCCCTCGACCACCCCCTACAAGTGTCCATTGTTGGGGCAGAGTCAAGTGATTATATGCTCTGGCTGATACGGTTTGAGCCCAGCTGCCTAACTGCTGACACACGAGCACCGAAAGGGCGGGGGACCCACGTCTGCAAGACGGGGCTCTAACATGCCAGACCTTTTACATAAGTCAAACAGGAACAAATGATGCTTTATGGGTCCTGCTGACGGAGCAACCTCCTCTTCCTTTGAAGTGGTGGCTGCTTATAGGCTCTTACAGCTTTTCCTCTTCAGCCCAAGCAAGCATCCTCCTTTTGATATGCTACATGCTCATTATCTCTGCCCCATTTAATGATTTTTGATTGAAAGGTGGCAGCTCAGTTGCCAAGAGGATCGTTAAAGAGGCTCCACAGTCAGGCCTACAATAAAGGCTTTCCTTATGCAGTGGCCTAAATTTGGAATTTCCTAACAGCGTGTTCTTGTTCTTTGTGGCAGATAAGGGCTGAGCGTGAAATTCTTAATTAAGCAGTAAATAGTGTATGGGGTGTCAGCAGATGCAGCCTGTAGCCATGGAGACTAAGTCACATGAACATGAGAGCAGACACTAAACAGGGAGCCCCGGGCTTGGATGTGACTGGCAGCTGAAGAATCCTACAAAGCTTGTAAACGGGATTAATTAGTTGACTAATTATTTCAGACCATTAATGTAACTTAAAAATAAAGCCAGTTTCTAATATCGTAACAAGGGGAACTCCGGGGATTAAAACACAAAACTGCCCTCTTTCTTCGTTGAAGGCTCAAATGGCCAAGACCAGCAATGCGACAATGCTGATTTCCTACAGGACATTGCAAAAAAACAGAAACAAAGAAGAAGAAAAAGAAAAAACACAAACCCTTCTCAACCTTTCTCCCCTAAAGAAGTTCTGTGAAGCCAAAAGTTGGTATATCCTTACTGGCAGAAGTCAAGAAATCTAAACAGTGGCTAAGGTGAAATAGTTTTGGGGTGCTGGAAACAAAAGCTCCCATTGCTTAGTCCAGGGAAGGAGCCCAAAGATCTAAAGCTGGAGAGCCAGACACTGACTACTCCTTCCTAGGGTTTCATGTACTTCTCCCTAAGTCCCAACATGTGACCAAAGGCGTCAGATGGTCTTTCATGCCCAAAGAACAAGTTCAAATGCTACCAGCTGGATAGTACAGATTTCTTGTTTGTGGATAGGTGGGAGACTGGTGTCCAAGCATTACCTGACCACTGGGTAGCATAGGGTTGCTAGAGGGCCCACAGTCCTGGGTGCTTAATGGAGAGGGGCGCACAAACCAGCCGCCCCCCAAAGAGATCCCCATCATACAGCTGGGGAGGGTGAAGAGTACCCTCTGAGCCTCCCCCTCCCCCACTTTGTGCACCAAGAGATCTTCTACCTACAAAAGTGAAGAATGGGCAAAAACTTAGGGCATGGAAGCAGCCCTCAGGGGCAAAGCTTCCACCTTATGGGCCTTCTTTAGAGTTCCACACTTATTTCTTAGTATGTTGAACAATGGCCAGTTGCTTGGTAAGGTCGGTTATCAGGGCTTCCTTAATCAGTTGGGGGAAGTCTAGAAATTGCACAAGCTGCAGGGAGATGCTGGGCAAACCCACTTCCAACAGCAAGGGGCAACAGGAGCTCCAAATGACTAACAGTGGTCTGAACAATGTTTATTTTTGTGTCTTCTGAAAAAAGCAGCACCTCCAGGCCTTTAGTAGTTCTGGTTGAGACATTTGTGACTCTTGAAGGACTGGGAAGCGAATATCAATCAAGTCCTCAGCCCAAAATGACACAGTTCCACAAAGGTAGATGCAGGAATCCAAGATAACCATTGCTGCCTGCCCTCACCCAGAATTTGTCTCACAGGTTTTCTAAATGCAGAGTCCATTTGTGTGCCCCTTCTGCCCCAACAGTCCCCAGTACAGGTATCAAGTTGTGGGCGGAGTGTTCAGATGCACGTTTTCCAAATCAACTTGAGTGATGTGCTCTGCGCTGTACGCCACAGGAGAGTGGGTAGCAGCCTGGTAGTGGCCCCTTCTGCTAAGACCTTCAGGTGGCTGTCCATCAATCTCATCATCCCAATAAGTTTAGTCTTACTGGCGGTGGTGGTGGGAGATCAGAGTCAGGAAACAAGGTTTTTAATTTAACTGAGGAGGAAAATGGAGAGCTGTCGATCTAGAGAAAATAACTAAATAATGGCAGGTGAGAGATCAGAAAAATCTTGATACGAAAGAGCCTAGAGCAAAGAGCTGCACTTCCTAGGTAAAGAAAGAAAAGGAAACTGGAGAAAGAGACTCAGGGAACTGCCTAGTATTCATGTTCATGTCTCATGTCCTTCCATCTCCTGTGATAGATAGATAGATGATATATAGATAGATAGATAGATTAGATAGATAGATGGATAGATAGATAGATAGATAGATAGATAGATAGATGATAGATAGATAGATAGATGATAGATAGATAGATAGATAGATAGATAGATAGATAGATAGATAGATAGATAGATAGATAGATAGATAGATAGATAGATAGATAGATAGATAGATAGATAGATAGATGATAGATAGATAGATAGATAGATAGATAGATAGATGATAGATAGATAGATAGATAGATAGATAGATAGAGATGATAGATAGATAGATGGGGGGTTGTTAATCCAGTGTTTTCAGGAGTCCTCCTATACGACTCTGGGTAACTCCTCCCACCTAACTTACTTCACACAGGAAATCATCATCATATCATTTTATGTGGCAGGAGAGAAGTGATATGATTTTTTTGGGGGGGGGTCTGATGTCTCAAATGGAGAGTGTCATGGATGAGGAGTTACGTGTGATATCCCTCACCACTACCTGAGCTTGGGTACAGCTGTTCCTCCTCAATGAGCATGATGGTTGAAAACTCCCAGTTTCAGAGGAATCCTTAAGGTGGAGGGAATATGCATTTGTTCTTACCTAAATAAGTTAACTTCCTTCTTTCCCAATTGAAAAACCAGTCACAGCCTTTATTGTGCTTATGTGAAGGTAACGACAAGAGTGGCGATCCTTTCTGTGTACCACAGGTCACTGTAACATTGATGTGGGATGATCGGACTTCATGTTCCAGCAATAAATAATTCCCAGCTGTGAAATTATTGAACGTAGCAGTATACTAGAGAGTAAAACATAAGAAAAATGCATACTTTTACAATATATTTGTGTACAGATTTTGTCTGGAGCTTAACAGAAAGAATCTAAGACATGAGGAACATTCTCTAGACCCATAATGCTACTATTAAATGATTTCATATAGGCTTCCCAATGGTCTGTACATACACCCTCTGAAGTAACTATGGCAGGGGTAGCAAGGTTTACTTCGCCTGGGCTGGTTCATTCCATCGGAGATCCCTCTGTGGGCCGGTTAAACGACCCCCGTGTTCCGCTTGTGGCCCATGGGCCTTAGGTTGCCTTCCCCTGAGCTATGGGGTGCCTCTCATTGTTAAAATGGAAATACACACAGCCTTTTTATGTCTCTCTACCAACAAACTTGCCCTCTTCATAAGACAGATAAATACCAGGAATGGGCACAGAAAATCTCAAGATACATGTTGATCTACCCACACGTCGTTGTTATCCCTGAGAAACATAGAAAATAATAGGATATATTTATCCAAAAGTCTTTAGACTTACACGACCCTTTAAAAATTAGCTGACAAAGGTGAATACATCGAAAAAGGGCCCGGTCCTTTCCAAATCTACAATTCTATTAGTCTAAGACACCAAAATGGAGAGGTGGAGATAGACTTGTCAATAGTGAAGGAGCTCCAACTTCCAATAAGAGGGAATGATTTTTACCTGGAAAGAAATACCTTTTTGTTTAGCTCAGCCCAAAATAAACTTTAATGGTGCTTAGAAAAGAAAAGACCCAGAATCTATTTGTCTGTAATTTGGCAGGATTCCTACCTGTAAGAGCTGTTCGACAGTGGAATTTGCTGCCAAGGAATGTGGTGGAGTCTCCTACTTTGGAGGTCTTTAAGCAGAGGCTTGACAACCATATGTCAGGAGTGCTGTGATGGTGTTTCCTGCTTGGCAGGGGGTTGGACTCGATGGCCCTTGTGGTCTCTTCCAACTCTATGATTCTATGATTCTATGATTCTACCTAGGGACATTCGCATTTCTACAATTTTAGTGCAAACCAAATCTTGAGAACAGTGTGCACCCCTAACAAATATACCAATATGATTTATGAAGGGGAGGGAAGTGTTACCTGCAAGTTTTCACTCAGCAGAGGGTTGTCAAATGACAGAATATAAGTCTCCTGATCCAAAAGAAGAACCATCCAGCCATTTGCATTTGACAGAGTGTCAGAGACATAACTGACCATGGTTGTCTTATTGCGACTATCAGTCACTTTTAAATTATAAGGACAGATCGGGGCCTTTCTGAAAAACAATTAAGAATAGTCACGTTTCATTGTCTAATAGCCACTGTTATTTTAGAGTGCTTGTTAGTTCACCATTGTCTTTCAAAGGCTTAGGCTAATGTCAGCTCAGATGGCATAAAACATAGATACCGTATTTTTCTGTGTATAAGACTAGGTTTCCCCCCCCAAAAAAAATAATGTCAAAAATTAGGGAGTGTCTTATACACAGATAGTGCTGAGGGTGTGCTGGCAATTGGTTGTTGCCCCCAAAATAGGGGGCGTCTTCTACATGGGGGTGTCTTATAGACGGAAAAATACGGTAATCCTTCCCATTTCCCAGAATCTGTCTTCTGTGCAATATTTGCATCAAATATTTCAGACAGCACACTTCCGATGTACTGAACTGGATCTCTAGCCTACTTCCCTTTTATAAAAGTCTCTCTTCTGTGAACTACCAGTTCCTTGCTGTTGCAGGGAGCTTCTCATATGGCTCGTGCTCTAGACCAGTGGTTCTCAACCTGTGGGTCCCCAGATGTTGCTGGACTACAACTCCCATCAGCCTTGAGCTCTGGCCTTACTAGCTAGGGGTGATGGGAGTTGTAGTTCAACAACATCTGGGGACCCACAGGTTGAGAAAGGCTGCTCTAGACAGTGTTTCTGATAAACAAGGAGCCAAAATCGAGGCTCAGTGTCAATAGACTTCTGTGGTTTCACTACCCAAAACCAAGAGTATTTGACAGTATTATTTGCGGTATAATTCTTGTCCATGTCTGAATATCCTCAGCAAAATAGAAAAGAAAGAAATGTAGTCAGTGCAGCCTCCCTTGTTTGGTGCCTCCAAATAAATCTCTTGGTTTAATCCTTGAAAAGGCAACAATATGCTCCCTCCCTTTAAAACATGCAGGTTAACCGTGAACTGGAAATGGATATCAGAGTCTCTTTCCAAACAATGATTCTGTTTTTATACACTGTCAAGCTAGCACCAAAATAGAACTACCGGTACTATATTGCCCACATAATTGAGCATTCCTGCAACCATAATTAGCACCATTTTAATTTGCCCTAAATAGCCAGTGATTTTCACTGTGCCCTAAATAGCCACCAATCTACCTCTCTTTAATGTTAATGGAGCAGAGTAGGGCACGAGTATTTGTAATTCAGAGGAGCTGAGGGAGTCTGCATGGATCATTAAGAGGAGAGAGCTTTCATTACCAAGGGAGGAGGGAATCTCTCTAGGAACTGATCTTGTCTTTATGCAAAGGAAACCAGGAAAAGGCAACAGCCATAAGATGAAGTTAACCCCTGCCTCAAACTGTCAGGAACCTCTCAAAAATTGTTAAGAACAAAACCAACTTATGACTTATTGACAACACCAAATTTTTACATCCATGTAAGTTTCAGTTAAGAAGCAGCATGCTGCAAAAATCTGGCATGACTAATAGATGGACCTTGACAGCCTTGGTTACAATTTGCCATCATGGTTGTATAAACTGTTATGTAATTTAGCTCAAGTGTACTGTGCAGAACTGTTGAGCGTAAACGGCCCACAAAGGATTTGCTAAACCATTCAGCAACTCTGAGTAGAATAAATATTAAGTCTCCTGTTTATGTTTACCATTAGCTTACTTATCCTAAGGGTTTCTCTCTCTGAGTCTCCTTTTTGTATTAAGGAAAAACACACCGCTTGGCTCTAAATGCTTTTCGTTTGGTACCTTTGTGAAATAATCTACTGTAATCGTACATCTCTAGAAAATGAAGCAGGAATAATAAAAAAGGCTGTCTTAAAATAGTGCTGATAATATGAACCTCAATACTGAAATCAATTGCTTCACCAAGTTAACCTGATATTTTTGTTAGGCTATTGATGTTCCGTTCCACCTAAACAGATGTGTGGAGCTGTTGTATGTCACATGTCTGTTTACATTCCAGCACAGCTTGCTGGGAACTTCCGTTTGTGTATAGCTTTTGCTTTATGCTGCTTCTTGCTTGAACGTGAAGGAGAGCAGACATGTTTTCTTTGTCCTGATCTATGCTAAATAAACTGCTTGTAAATATGCTTTACATATGCCTCTGTCCGCCCCTCCGTCGCGAAGAGTTTGTTATCTCTGTTGGCTTGCGTGCTCAACTTCTGAAAGGCTTCTGAAGCTCTGAGTCACAGTTTTGATGCAGAACTAAGGACTGGAGTTCGACCGACAACTGGCCGGTGGGCTGGAGCCAGCTGGGGGCCTGCCAATTGCCCCCATTCCCTTGGGCACATCCCAACAATTTTAGCCCTCCACCCACCTCCACTGAGCACATACACCAGGAGCACTTTACACAGAGAACACCTGTTTTGCACATACAAATCCAAACTGGATCCTGCTGCATGTGACTGCTGCCAGCAGTTTTCAGAGACATTTGCCAAGGCCCATGTCTGTTCTGGGCCCAGCAAGAGTTAGTAGCTCCATCTTCACTCTCACTTTGTGTAAGGCTCAGCTACATCTGAGGCAGTGCCTGCTGGAGCTTGGCAGCAGAACGTCTGCCCTGCATGCAAAAAGTTCTATCTCCAGCCACACCACTTTTTGCAACCCTTAAACAAGGATGCACTTGTTCGCATATGGGAATCATGTAAACACATAATTGGGCATTCCAGGGGACGTCAATCTTGAGAAAGAGATGTTCTTTGTGTATGCGCATACATTCCTAGATGTGCCATGTACTCTACAGAGCAGTCCACATCTTTCCCCAATCTCCCATCTGAGAGCTCCCATGCTATATGAAGAACTTGAGAAAAGAACGATACTTACAGGCCAATAGACATACGGTGGAAAGTAACATTTCCATGGCAAAGACTGCCACTGGCAACTTGACTGGCATTGACACTCGCCAAGCAGGAATCTGGAAGTGTATCCACAGAAGGGAGGAGAAAGCTCCCCCTTTGCCCTGTGATTGTGCCATCTAGATCTTTAAGAATCGCACAATGAGGAAATGGGAACGATATCCAATTTGGGGCATTTAGAAGTAGCACTTGTTCAGACCTCACAGCAAATCCGCCTGTAAAGTAGGGACAGAGAGAGAGAAATATGGTCTCGTTGCTAATAACTGATGAACAAGCTACAAAATCTGATTCAGTCAGGGAGGGGTCAGAATTATTTTGGGATATTGAAAGAATACGTTCATATATCATTGCTTACTTGTTTATTAAAGGCATGTATTACTTCATACTGAAAATCTATGACATATCCACTGTTGTTAAATAGAGATAAATGTATTTGAAGCATGGCATTTGCAATGAAATTGACATTGTGTGCCTACTCAAAACTAAGGGTGGGATTTGCCCAATGAATCCTGTCCATGGATGCCCGGCCTGCACAAGGACTTCTGCTTACGCAATGGGGCTTTCTCCTCTCTCCATCCCCCATACCCCCCAAATTGGCTTGGGAGGGGTTTGGGAGAGCCCTCCCCCCAGAACAGCCCATAGGGGGGAAAGAGAAGGGTTGTTCTGTCTGAAATGCTTGCATTGATGAGACATTTGTTATCGCGCCATGTTGGATTTCTCCCTAAAGCCACAGTTTCATTGAAATATAGCATGCTGAAATGATGCATTTAAGGATAGTTGGTGTTCAAATTATTTATAGTCAGCTTTTAATGCTGTTTATGAGTGTATGCTATTTTTATGGACAGAACAACATTTATAAAATATACAGTATTTCAGAAAGCCAGATTATTGGCAGGATCTCAGGACACTGCTTAAGCCCCATTCAACAAATGTTGAGGTCTTACAATTATTTGAGGTGGGGCACAGAAGATAGTACCTCTTTAGGGTAAAATAAACAAACATGAAATAGGACTTTGTGCAGGCTGTCAGTCTGTAGATTGTACAGTTTGTAGATAGTACAACTAACTCCATGTCCCTTTTCTCATTATTCTGTTGCCCCATGTTTCCTGCCTATTTTATGAAGTTGCAGTTGGGTCAAACTGGACATGACCTTGATTGCATGAAGCCAATTCAGTTGAGCTCATGCAGGATCAGAAACACAGGGGATGGGGGGCGGAGTTGAATCCTCTCCCCTCCAAGGCTGCTATTTGCATTGGCAGGGAAGCCTCCACTGCCACCAGCATGAATTCCCTGCCTGCTGTGGTCACTTATTTGACCCTACAAGGAAACCAGTTCACAGGCACCGAACAGTCCACATTTAAATCCACAACCACATATATATTTTTTGCACAGAAAGCCTATCTTACCTTGACCTTGGTAACAACTAGAACAGGTGGCGATTGCAGTGCAATTGGGAATGTCAAAATTCATAAAGGTTGTATTTGAAATCAATAGTTCATGCCTTTTGGGAGTTTTCAGTCCTGCCTGCATACAAGTTCCATCCTGCAACAATAATATAGAAAGAGACTATATTGTGATACAGCTCCAGCGGTTTCTTTTATTCATTTCATAGGAACATAGAATCGTAGAGATGGATGGGACCCAAGGGTCATCTAGTCCAACCCCCTGCAATGCAGGAATCTCAGCTAAAGCTTCTATGACCTCTGCTTAAAAACCTCCAAGGAAGGAGAGTCCACCACCTCTCATGGGAGTCTGATCCACACCTCTTACTGTCAAACAGCTCTTACTGCCAGAAAGTTCTCTTGATGTTTAGTTGGACTCTCCTTCCTTGTAATTTGCAGCTATTGGTTCAAGTCCTTCTCTCCAGAGCAGGAGAAAACGAGCTCGCTCCATCTTCCATGTGACAGCCCTTGAGATATTTGAAGATGGCTAACATATCTCCTCTCACTCTCCTCTTTTCCAGGCTAAATATACCCAGCTCCTTCAACCACTCCTCATAAGGCTTGGTTTCCAGACCCTTGATCATCTTGGTCGCCCTCCTCTGCACACCTTCTACCTTCTTAAACTGTGGTGCCCAGAACTAGACACAGTGATTTGCATGTCCAGAAAGGCTCCCAGATTTTCAGCTCTCTCTCCCAGGTCCTATCCCAATTATCCTATGTTTGATCCTGTGTTCTCTGCTTTCTGTCTTCTGTCTTCTTCTCTCACCTCTATGCAAATCTTCACTGAAATCATTGATTTCTCCCGTAGCTCATACTATGTCACACCCATTCTCAGCTTCCACCACTGGCTTCCTACTCGGTTCAGTATCCATCACAAATTCTGTGTCCTTCACTATTAAGCCTCCATGCTCTTTCTGCCTTTAGGCCCTTGTGGAAACGTAAGTTGTGCAAGAATTGAAAGTTGTGTCTTTCACAAGTCATACCTATAGACAGGAGGAGCTATGCACTTTCTGAGTTGCTAACAGCTATTAAACAGAACTACACATGCAACGTTAATTTTAAGTTCCAACTGTAGGCATCGTTGCTCTCTGGCCTTGATGGAAGTCATCTCCCCTCCCCCCACAAATTAACTTGCTGTGTAAAGAGCAGAAGTACAAAAGGACAGAAGTAGCAGCTGGTTTAAAGGCATATTTTAAAAATAAAAGGGCTGGCTGAGTGGAAGGTTTAGCCTTCTTGTTAAATTAATGTCATAAAGTTTTAATTGATGTTAAAGAGACATCATTATTAAAGGATAGAATTACATAAATTAATATGTAAATTATGACAAGACAACTCTTTATCGTGAGATAATCGAAGATAATCACACCCCCAGGGTGCTGTGAGGAACAAAGCATAGCTGAGTGCTTTAAATCTCTTAACAAGTATGGGGTGGGGGCACTCAAGTGCTCTATATCCAGCGACAGTAAAACAAAACCAAAAGGCCGTATCTTAGATGTACTGGAAACCACCTACCAAAGATTTCCATATGTCTTCTTGTTGCTCACCCCACTCTACCATTCTAATCTCTCCTGGCTCCTGAGCTTCTTTGCCTCAGTTTTCCTCACTTTCACAAGGAATATTTTTTCTCCACCATCTCACACTCCTAAGGCTTCCTGGGCTTACACACACACCTGCACACACCCTTACACACAGCTTACGGAAATGAAACAAACCCAGGTACCTGAAGGAGCACCTCTCCTGACATTGACCCGTATTAAGAACTTTGGGTTCTACTTCTGGGAATGGTGCAGCTGGCAAAAGCTATTAGTTCTTGGGGACCTTTCAAGCAGAGAACAATAACTGGTGCAAGCCACCACAGCATCCCTTTGCTAGTCACCGCTGTTCAGGCAGCTTGCAGATGGAGATGTGTGAAGGAAAAGGGCAAAAGCATAGGGTCCTCCTTCCTTCTACAGTCTCTCTCCTCCACTCTCTGCAAGCCACCTCTCCTCTCATTTGGTGGGGCACCTTCTCTGGGTTGGGCCCAGTGATAGAGCACATCCTCTGGACAAACACGTATGCAAAACAACAACAACAACATCCCTCATATTTTTTATACTGACATAATTCGGTTCCTGAAATACTGGCTATGAATAAAAAGGGATTCTTGCTTGCTAGAGAACTGCATTTGTGCAACACTGGCTAACCTTTTACAGCAGCTTCCAAACACATTCTGTTTGAGACACAAATACCCTGCACTCCCTTAACTGTTGTTACTCAGAGTTGAATAGGAATCCGAGTGGCTTTTGGTTTGGTATACTTGTGGAGAGGGATTTCAACACAATACAATAAATAGTTAACAACAGATACATAGTTTTCCTCAGCTTCAAAGCAGCGGATAAAGATGAAGGGATAAGCCCTCACTATGCCACAGGGAATTATTTTCTGTTTTACAGATTAGAGCATTGAGACAAAGAGATTAAAAATATTGCCAAAGCAATGAGGGGAAAATTAGAACCAAACATAAAACTCAGACAGACTCTGGATGAGAGAGCAAATGTCTTCTCTAGTTGGGTGTTTCCTGATTAGTTCTGCAATTGTAACTGAGATACATTGAACATATAAAGTACACCAAGCCTAACTTCATAAACCTATACATGTCTACTCAAAAGTAAATCCCACTTACTCCCATGAAAGAATAAGGCTACAATCCTATACACATTTATTAGAGGGTAAAGCCCCATTAAACTTAGTCATAAGTCAACTAGCAACCATGGAGAGGGCAGTGCAAGAACCTAAGTCTCATTACAGCTCATTCACATCACACTAAACTATGATTTAGCTTGACATCTAGATATGACTATAAAGTCTGACCACAGTGCTGAGAAAAGACCTCAATATTCCCCCAAAAGCTGTTTTTTCTAACTTTATTGCCCTTTTAGCTCTTTAAGTTTGTTTCTTTGTTAGCCTCTGAAAGTGGAGGACAACTTGAGTTCTTACCTTCTCATGCAAGTGACCAAGTAGAAAACTATTGGCAACAGAGGTGTTTCCAAGACTTTCCACAATGTCAATTCCAAAATATTTGCAAGATGAGATGTGGAAGTTCCAAAGCTGTAGGTTGCTACTGCTAATAATCTGTTAATAGTATTTTAAACATTAATACATTATTGCCAAGGAAATCAACAGATAAAGTAAATGAATAGTTGTCTGTGCTCCATAAGACACTGTTCGATAGTGTCAATAGCCCTGGTGGAGTGATTAAATGGCACTGCCACCTAGCTATGATGATGATGTTCCATCTCTGAGCCATAATAAATACTGCCCAAGGTATGTGAAATGAGTATGAAGGAATGCCATGCTTCTACAGGTAGCTTCTACAGGGCTTTGGCTACATTTGTATTATCCCAAAATAGCAACAGGCGTGATATAGCAATCTTGAGCCCTTACCCAGCTGACACAGTAATTTACCCACACTGCCTTCCTCCCCTTTTATCTTATTCCTCATCTGCTTGATTAACAATGAGAAACAAACCAGAAGACAAGATCAAGACTGCAATAGCAGAGACATAAAATATATGCCCCCAATAGTTACTATAAAAAGGGGAAGTATATCTGGGTTGTTTTTTTTAATCAGCCCTGAGTGCTCACTGGAAGGACAGATCCTGAAGCTGAGGCTCCAATACTTTGGCCACCTCATGAGAAGAGAAGACTCCCTGGAAAAGACCCTGATGTTGGAGAAGGGGACGACAGAGGACGAGATGGTTGGACAGTGTTCTCGAAGCTACTAGCATGAGTTTGACCCAACTGCGGGAGGCAGTGGAAGACAGGAGTGCCTGGTGTGCTCTGGTCCAGGGGGTCACGAAGAGTCGAACACGACTAAATGACTAAACAACAACAAATATCTCAGTGTTTCCCAACCTTTTTTGGGCAAAGGCACACTTGTTTCATGAAAAAAATCTCAAGGCACACCACCATTAGAAAATGTTTAAAAAATTAACTCTGTGCCTATATTGACTACCCTATTTTTCGCCCTATAGGACGCACCGGCCCATAGGACGTACCTAGATTTTGGGGGGGAAATAAAGGGGGGAAAATTATTTTTCCCCCCCCCAGACGCGGGGCTGGGGCGGGAGAAGCCCGAGCTTCCCCCGACCCCAGCCCCCAGAAAGGGTCCGAGAGCGATGGCGAAGGTGAGCGCACCTTTGCCATTGCTCCCGGAGCTTGCAGGAGCTGGGGGTGGTGGAAGCCAGAGCTTCCCCGCCCCCAGCCCCCAGAAAGGGTCCGAGAGCGATGGCGAAGGTGAGCGCACCTTTGCCATTGCTCCCGGAGCTTGCAGGAGCTGGGGGCGGGGGAAGCCGGAGCTTCCCCCGCCCCCAGCCGCCAGAGCAGGTCAGAGAGCGATGGCGAAGGTGTGCGCACCTTCGCCATCGCTCTGGGACCTTGAGCGGGCTGGGGGCGGGGGAAGCCAGAGCTTCTCCCGTCCCCAGCCCGCAGAGCAGGTCAGAGAGCGATGGCGAAGGTGTGCGCACCTTCGCCATCGCTCTGGGACCTTGCGCGGGCTGGGGGCGGGGGAAGCCGGAGCTTCTCCCGTCCCCAGCCCGCAGAGCAGGTCGGAGAGCGATGGCGAAGGTGTGCGCACCTTCGCCATCGCTCTGGGACCTTGCGCGGGCTGGGGGCGGGGGAAGCCGGAGCTTCCCCCCTCCCCAGCCCCCCGAACAGGTCAGAGAGCGATGGCGATGGTGTGCGCACGTTCGCCATCGCTCTCGGGGCTTGGGAGGCTGCGGGCGGGGGAAGCTGGAGCTTCCCCCGACCCCAGCCCCCCGAACGGGTTGGAGAGCGATGGCAAAGGTGCGCGCAGCTTTGGCATCGCTCTGGGAGCTTGCGCGGCTGGGGGGATAGCTTCCTTAAGCCTGGAGAGCAAGAGGGGTCGGTGCGCACCGACCCCTCTCGCTCTCCAGGCTTCAGCGAAAGCCTGCATTCGCGGCAATGGGATGTGGGAGGGAGCTCGCTCGCCGCCCCGCGTGTGCTCGCCGCCGGCGCCCCGCCTCTTGCCGCCCGACTCGCCCGCCTCCCTCCCACGGCACACTAGGCAACGTCTCACGGCACACTAGTGTGCCGCGGAACACCGGTTGGGAAACACTGAAATATCTGTTTTTGAACTTTGTTTTTTGTTCTATTTTGACTTAGTTCTCCTCAGTTTATTATCATTTATTGTTATGCATGTAAACAATGAAAATTGCTGCTAAATTGTTGCACAACAAAGTTACAGTAGTTGGAGCCAATGAATATTATGGTATATGTTGCAACTCTGACTCAGAGTAGCCCCAGCCAGCATGCTCAATGGTCAAGGTCTCAAGGATGATGAATTTGTTGTCCCAAACATGTCAAGGGCACCAGGTAAACTACCCCATTGCTAAAGTGTTTCAGAAGATTCAGTGGTGGGGAAGCAAAAATTATGGTTATCCTACCTTAACTCCACCTTCACATTGCCAGGCTGTGAAGGTTTCAAGTGTAACAGGCAATGTGGTGTTTGCTCTTTGAGGATGATATTCTGGGTATATCAGGAGTCCAAAGCTGTTTAAATTGAAATAAATGACAATGGTTTTATAACAAAACATTGAGATGGGAAAATGTGTAGATATAGGGAGGATGGGAGAGAACCCAGTTTGCATTTAAAGACAAATCTACATACTGTAACTCACACTTCCCAAAACAATAGGTAAACTGAAACACAACCATCCTTCAAAAATTGAAGTTCTCTGAATTGTGCAATGTGGTCCTCATGCCAAGCAATCTGTACAAAAATGCATATGGTGGAGCATAGAAATGCATATATAGTACAACCACATCTTGTACGTAATTAACTTGCACAATTTCAACCTTATGCAACTGAAAGCTCACCAGTTAAAATAGTGCAAACTGGCTGCACAAAAGGCAGAAAGCTTAAATGTTCTTTTTGCACCAGTTTTCTCAGCACACAAAGAGCTTGCCTGCCACCGTGCTTAGTGGGCTCTGAGGTGCTCTCACAAGATCTCACAAGAACTCGGACAGCCCTGTGAAATCTCACAACAGCAGCCCAGAACCCACACACCGAGCGGGAGGGACTTGCTCCAAAAAAGGGAGTGTAACAGCCCTCTGCCTTGCTTATTGGGTTAAGATCCACTCAGTGCGCCAGCTCCAGAAGGTATTCATACAGAGGCAGTTGGAGTACAGTGGTGCCTCGCAAGACGAAATTAATCCGTTCCGCGAGTCTCTTCGTCTTGCGGTTTTTTCGTCTTGCGAAGCACGGCTATTAGCGGCTTAGTGGCTTAGCGGCTATTAATGGCTTAGCGGCTTAGCGGCTATTAACGGCTTAGTGGCTTTAAGAAAAAGGAAACAAATTCGCAAGAACTCGCAAGACGTTTCGTCTTGCGAAGCAAGCCCATAGGGAAATTCGTCTTGCGGAATGACTCAAAAAACGGAAAACCCTTCCGTCTAGCGAGTTTTTCGTCTTGCGAGGCATTCGTCTTGCGGGGCACCACTGTATACAGTTTTTCGGATGTATGCACCCACCATCCTCAAAATGAAACTTCTGAACAAGATATGATTGCACAGTATTAGTGAAAATAACTTTTTAATGAAAAATTGCATATAAACATGTGCATTTGAAGAAAGGAACCAATCCAGGCTCTTGGCAGGTGGAATACCAATTTTTGCAAGTTTAAAAGACAAATATATTTTCCAGGAACAAAGTCTAATTGACTGTGGATTCTGAATTTGTCTCATGGTCTGATCAGTCATGATCTGCCTGAATTGAAACAAGTGAATTCACTTTGGAATTCAAGTTTCTTCCTAAATGTACATGTTCTTTATACTGAGAAGAAAATGTGGTTCCAGTTCACAGCATATATTCACAGGCAAATATTACTGAATTAGCTGTTACTATAAAACACACACTATAACGAAAACTGCAAGTCAGAGCCAGGGATTTTTATTCTGAGGTACTTTGAGGATGGAAACATCAGTAGAGGTACCTGACTCCACAGGAATTAAATTATAGTAATTACTAAGCACATACAAAGGAAAATAGAAAAAGCAGTGGGTAATCAGGGAACTGAATAGTAAACCAGGCATAAACAAAAACACCCTGTTCAAAAATCTGTGTGATCATTCCTTTTTTTGCAGATTATTAAACAAATGTATTTAACTGTCAGAATGGATCGAGTACTTCTAATACAATTACTAACGGTCAATTTATAAGCCACACGAAAACAAGCCTGAACCACTATATATGGCTGTGTACTTATTTGTTTATGTGTGTGAATGTGTGTTTATAAAATTGGGGGTCATTTTGAACTAGAATATTCAGGGTTCTACATTTCAAACATGAATTTTCCCAGAACACACTTAAGGCTGACTTAAAAGGTAAAGGTAAAGGACCCCTGACCGTTAGGTCCAGTCGCAGACGACTCTGGGGTTGCGGCGCTCATCTCGCTTTACAGGCCGAGGGAGCTGGCGTTTGTCCACAGACAGTTTTTCCGGCTCATGTGGCCAGCATGACTAAGCTGCTTCTGGCAAAACCAGAGCAGTGCACGGAAACGCCGTTTACCTTCCCGCCGGAGCGGTACCTATTTATCTACTTGCACTTTTGGGTGTGCTTTCGAACTGCTAGGTTGGCAGGAGCAGGGACCGAGCAACTGGAGCTCACCCTGTCGCAAGGATTCAAACCACCGACCTTCTGATTGGCAAGCCCAAGAGGCTCAGTGGTTTAGACCACAGTCCCTGTAAGACTGACTTGGAATGTACCAAATACTGAAGCCTATATCTCTGCAATGAAATGCAACAGCTGTTTACTAGATGAAAATACTAGGCAATAGTTTAGAACTGGGAAAGAAGAATATATGTAATTGTAATTGAAATGAACCCTATTTACAGTCTACTAGAAATGGAACATAGCATATCAATATGTTTTCATCCTGCTGGGGAAGAGACCCTATTAAACATCAGATAAAGCATTAAACACACACACACCCTTTATTGGCTATTGCAATTAGCATTTATGCAGCGGAGTGAGTGTGTACTCACACACATGTGTGCACATGCTTGCATACGTGAGAGAATGGCAGAGAGGAAGCAGGGGGAAATATTATCCTATCAAACTGAATGCAGAAGTACCTCGTGCAAGAATAGGCTCGATTCTTACTGAAGGACAGAACTGGAGCCTCTGATGGTCCTGAAGGAGAAAGGTGGAAAAAATAGCCGTGTCCCGCAGCACACACTGTGTTACCCTGAGGAGGAGGAGAATATGGTTATAGAACATCCATCTCAATGCAGTTAAGATCCCAGAATACTGGAAAAAGTTGTGGCATTTTATCTTCAGACCTATACGAACATCCATGTCAAGTTGGTTTGGAAATCCAGAGATTCAGACACCTCAGGATGAAAACTGAGAGACATAATTTTACTTCAGGAGGAGTCAGATATGGGGCTCCCTCCAGCCAGAAGCCTCTCTGCCTCCATCAACTGACACAGAGCTGGAGGGGCCTCTCTAGGGTGCTTGACAGGGTTTGTCAAGAGTTTACCAACACGCAGACAGCCTCTGTGCAGCAGTGGCGTAGCGTGGGGGGTGCAGGGGGGGCCGGCCGCACCGGGCGCAACATCTGGGGTTAGGGCAAATCCACGGGTTAGGGGGCGCAAATCCACGGGTTAGGGGGCGCAAATCCACGGGTTAGAGAGCACAAATTACTTGCCTTGCCCCGGGTGCTGACAACCCACGCTACGCCACTGCTGTGCAGCACCACATGTAGACAGAATAATGGCAGGTCCAACAGTAAAGGGGAGAAAACAAAAACAAACCACTGTCTGTTTGTTCCTTGTTTTCAAATGAATATCAGAGCAAAGCAGAAAAGTATTACTGGCTAAGAAAAATGACATATTCAGCTAAAATATCATGCAACTTTTCAAGCAGCTCTAACAGTTTTGCTGGTGCAGCCATGGTCTCATCCAGGCTTCCTCAAACTCAGCCCTCCAGATGTCTTGAGACTACAATTTCCATCATCCCTGACCACTGGTCCTGCTAGCTAGGGATCATGGGAGTTGTAGGCCAAAAACATCTGGAGGGCCGAGTTTGAGGAAGCCTGGCTCTCATCTAAGACAGAGATGTGGAACTTCCAGCCTGCCAAGTCCCCTCATTTAGTGTGTGAGGCTGTTTTGTGGAAGCAAATTACACCTGACATTACACATATCAGGTTTGGGGCAGGGAAGGGTGAGCCTTTAAAGGACCAACAGGGAGTTTTACATGGGCTTCCAATTGCTTCTTTGCTAGAGAAAAGCAGCTGTGGAGTTGGAAGAGCCCAGGATGGCAGGATAATTCACCCCCACCCATTAGCTGGTATGTGTTGCTCAAGGTGGGATATTTCCATTCAGTGCAAACTGCTTTTGTCTTCCATTGCTGCTCTTCGAAGACAGCGCTGGGGATGGAAAGGAGAAGAGCAGGGAGGTTTAGAAGGCCTTTCCAGTACTCCTCCTGGGAGTATGACTTCTAAACATGATTCTCTTAGTGATCACGCTGCTAGTCTCTTGACTTTCCAATTGCTACTGTGCTTTGTTTATTAATGGTAGTTATTGTAGGTTCTTTTTATTTTATCTCTTGGTAATTCGTAAAAATTGTGTTTTAAATGTTTTATGTGACTGGGGTTGGGGTGGGGAGTGGCCTAAATATTAAAGGTAAAAGGACCCCTGACCATTAGGTCCAGTCGTGGCCAATTCTGGGGTTGCTTGCTCATCTCGCTTTATTGGCCGAGGGAGCCGGCGTCATGTGGCCAGCATGACTAAGCCGCTTCTGGCGAACCAGAGCAGCGCACGGAAACGCCGTTTACGTTCCCGCCGGAGCAGTATCTATTTCTCTACTTGCTCTTTGACGTACTTTTGAACTGCTAGGTTGGCAGGAACAGAGACCGAGCAACAGGAGCTCACCCCGTCGCGGGGATTCGAACCGCCGACCTTCTGATCGGCAAGTCCTAGGCTCTGTGGTTTAACCCACAGCGCCACCCGCGTCCCTGCCTAAATATTACACCTAAGTAAATAAATAAGTGGGGCGACTTTTAAAACTGTATTGTGACCATTATGATACATGTGCCATCATACCAGGGGGGAAAATGATTTATGCAAATGAATGGAAAACTGCAGAACAGCTGATTACATGCACCAATTCTTTAAAATCCCTTATAAATGATCAGGTAGCTGAAAACACTAGACATGCACAATGTTCACAAGACTTACAGGTACTAAAAACAAACAAACATTTTCTCTCTAAAGTATATAGGTAATATTATGACTCTCCCCCTTCCTGCAATTCTAGGATTTCATACTTGTTGAATGCCCAGCAACCAACATTCCTGACACTGAGAAAAGTGGCAAAGACTCCATGCTTAGCAGCGCCAGATCAAACACAGAAGACTGGGTGTGATCAAACACATGTCTGCCACCGCGAATGGAGCTCTTCCACAAGAAAACACAGGGCAGCTTAGAGCTCCTTGGAACAGGGACCTACCTTCTTTACTTTCTTGCTTCTATAAAGTGCCCAGCATATTGATGGCATTATTAAAATCAGTATGATAAATAATAATAATAAACCCTGCCATTTGGTGGGTTCCTCACTACTTAAAGGAAAAGTGGGTTTCTCACTACTCTGCAAATTTATACATTTTAAAGAAAACTCTCACTACAAAATCAGGATTAAAAATCAACAACCCTGGACACAGAGAATTAGAGTCAGGAGAATCTAAAAAGGAATTAAGCAGAGTTGCAAAGAGTGAATTTTCTGCCCAGACCTTCAACACTATAAAATCATAGTGGAAATTTGGTCCAGATGTGCAGTGGCCAAAAGGTGGCCGCTTGTGTCACTGGAAGTGTTTGTGAGGTGGCTATTTGTCCACAGGGATTGGAAGCCAGACCACCAACTCACTTCCCAGAGGTCACTGGAGAGCTTTAAGAAGATAATGACTGTTCATTTCTTGTGACCCAGATCAAAGAAGAGCCAGTGACCTAGAAGAGAGAGGCTCCGTATCCCGTTTCCAGTCTTGTGACCTATACAATTTTCCCACTGTCCTGGTGTCTGACATTTGTCACAAGGGTCACAAAGCAAAGAGACAAGAGTAGTGCCGGAAGCACAAGCTTAGGCACCTTTTTGGAAACGCAGCTTTTCAGACCACACTGCCCACAGCACAGTTAAGGCAGAGCTTCAGTAGTCAACTCACATTATAGTTCAGTGACTATTTTACCTACGACTCCAGTAGTGCATTCTACAGATGATTTGTGAGGGCGAGAGTCCAGCATATTTATGCAGACAGCTGGTAGCTTGACAGCAGCGGTCTCGGCGAAGCAGAGAATTTTCTGCAGAAATAAATTATTTGGGGCACTGTGTTCTATAGATCTCTCTGCAGCTATATTCCCAGAGAGAAAGTGGTTTTCTTCCATGAGTATCTGATAGCAATTGAATACAGCCATATGACCTTTTAAGCGATTAAGACACCACATGTGGATATTGAACATATTTTGTTAATGCTGAGTTTAAATCCAAGCTCGTCTCTCTACTTGCTTCCTTATCTTCTCCCTAATGGCAGATTTTAAGAAGCTTGAAACAATAAGCCAGCATCAATGCAAACTCTTTATTCAATATCCACCATCATCAAGCCAAGTCATTCCTTAGCATGATTGTGGGGGACACGTTCCTAGGTGGTCTGACAAAGTAAAATGCAGTGGATCAAACAGCTCACATGTAAACTGGCTCACATGTTACAGCCTAATTCTCACAAAAAGCAGAGAAGCTCCCTTGAAAAAACATGGCAACCCACAGATAGCTATCGTAAGCAGAGGGAAGACTAGGCTAGAACACTCACAGCTATTTTTCTGTATGTGGGGAATTTTATGTATGCAGCAGCACTTAGTTATGTGTGTCTCTGCCTACAAGCTGAAGCAAAGTGCTCCAAACATAACTCAACTACTTCATCTGTGGTTTGTGAGAATTAAGCCTTAGATTGTGCATGTAGTCACATATTCTGAGACATCATCCCAAGTACCAATACAGTGGTACCTCGGGTTAGAGACGCTTCAGGTTACAGACGCTTCCGCTTACATACTCCACTCACCCAGAAATAGTACCTCGGGTTAAGAACTTTGCTTCAGGATGAGAACAGAAATCATGCTCTAGCGGCGCGGCGGCAGGAGGAGGCCCCATTAGCTAAAGTGGTGCTTCAGGTTGTCAGGAGTGCTCTGATGGTGTTTCCTGCTTGGCAGGGGGTTGGACTCGATGGCCCTTGTGGTCTATTCCAACTCTATGATTCTATGATTCTATTCTAGGTTAAGAATGTTTTCAGGTTAAGAACGGACCTCCAGAACAAATTAAGTTCTTAACCCGAGGTACCACTGTATAAACATTGTTATGCAAGTCATAACAGTTGACTTGCATAAAAATATTTACATTAGTACTTAGAATTATGTGAATTGCCCCTCCCTCTCCCAACATCCAAAACAGGAGGGAAAACCATGCTTATTTAATAAATGAGCATATATCACTCATATGCGCTCCCAGTGCTGGTGGTGTGGGGAGCAGGAGGAGAAACAAACAGGCCTAATCCCCTTTAATCACCACTCTACCATGAAAGAAACAGCTTGAATGGTGTGGGAAAGCAGGGGGGATTTCCCCACCTCTCTCTCATAGCTCAAGAACTCAAGAACTCTTGTGTGTTGGACTAGGACTGGAAAGAACCCAGCTTAGGTTTTTGGTTTTGCCCGGAAATTCACTGAGTGATCTTGAGCCAGCCACTCACTCCCACCCTAACCTACCTCACACGACTGTTGTGAAGATAAAATGGAGGTGGAGAAACATGCATGCCACCTTAAACTCCTGGGAGGAATAGCGGGGTACAAATCACCGTCATCAGACAAAAGAAAGAACTCCTTTTCATACAGACATTAGACAAATTTATAACGCGGGTGGCACTGTGGTCTAAACCACTGAGCCTCCTGGGCTTGCCGATTGGAAGGTCGGCGGTTCGAATCCCAGGTGAGCTCCCGTTGCTCGGTCCCTGCTCCCGCCCACCTAGCAGTTCGAGAGCACATCTAAGTGCAAGTAGATAAACATGTATCACTCCAACGGGAAGGTAAATGGTGTTTCCGTGCCCTGCTCTGGTTCGCCAGAAGAGGCTTAGTGATGCTGGCCACATGACCTAGAAAACCTGTCTGCGGACAAATGTTGGCTCCCTCGGCCAGTAAAGCGAGATGAGCGCCACAACCCCAGTCATCTGCGACTGAACTGTCAGGGGTCCTTTACCTTTACCTTTTATAGAGGTTGGTCCATCCATTGCTATTAGTCATGATAGCTATTGGGGTGCCACAATGGCAGAGGGGTATTGCTTGTGGACTTCCCAGAGGTATCTGTTT